GCTCCAACTCCGGCGGGTTCGAGCCAGGAGTGATGGCACGCCTAGACGCGACTTCGGCCGCGTTAGCCCATTTTGTTATTGTTAGTTAAAATCATAGTCATTTGCCGTGTGTACGAGGGGGTGTGGAGTGGTGCGCCAAGATGCGGGCTCAACCGCGCCATCCATCTGCGTTCTCCCATTCCTCCAGTCTTCTTAACTCTGTCTTGACATCGCGTCCAAGGGGGAGGACAGAGTGCGGTGGATGCTGTGCAAGTCTACACTCACTATAAACTAAATCACGCACAAGTCACCGTCCCTGCTCTCACCTTGCTCTGGGCCATTCGGTCGACATCGTCGGACGTGACGGTCGAACTTTCATAATCTTTTTACGTTACCATAACTGTGCGAGGACTCACTTTTCACATTATTTGCCTTCTAGTAGGAAGCCCGGTCTGTCTAAAATAAATCGTATCTATTCCTCCTGACAAATTACAACATGCGACCCATAGCCTTTCACATGTCCATTTGCAAGACCCCAAATTACCTTGGATTCGCAACGCTTTTCTTGTGTTACCTTAACGCATGGCTTGACAACCCCTCTAACCCTCACCGTCACACTTATAGGTCACCTTATTACCCGGCACCTAATCTACGGAAGTCCAATGGAAGCACTTGTGTTGGAGACTTGAAAGCCGAATTTTTACGAGTTTAGATCTGTGTGTTTTCTAGGAAAGTCCTAGTTGTTTCTAGTATCGCTCCTGACTTTCACAAACAGTATCATTTCCAACAAACTCTAGTTTAGTCTTCTTCAATCTACGAAGTATTACGTCCGGCCTCTTGAACACACACCGTCTGATGACCATCTCAAAGTCGGAAGTAGTCTCGTGGGTTTATAAGGAGGGAGGTGTGTGGGAGCATTCAGAAGACTGTTTACTATTCTACTTGACTAACTCATGAATTTCTTTTGAATAGAGTAAGGGAGGGTGTTGAACAGTTTTCCCCCTGCGCTTTATGCGTTACAATTTATGTGCAGGAAATTATCTTTTGCTGAATCTCAATTGTTATTGACACTGACTTGTTTTTAAAAGTAATAACTTAAAAAAACCCTCGGCAATCTTCTTTGAGTCTGCCTGTTTGTGTCCGAATATCTGCAGGTTGACCTATCCTGTTGCCAACGCGAGCATACGGATACAAAAATATTCCAGGTTAATGCGCATATTCGTGTTCGTTACTCTTATCGAAGGCCTGAACATCGTTGCCTCGGAGGTAGTTAACTGGCGATATAAGTCAGCTTCCTGCACAGGGGATTAGGTTGCAACAGCTCTTTTTGCTTTGGCTATAAGGCAATACTCCCTGGCGCGGTGTGAGGGATTATCGCATGTGCGGCACGCGCAGACGGCAGCAGAATTCCAGCCAATCACTGCGTTTGTGGTGAGGTGCCGGATTAATTTACCTTTGACAATTTAGCCCGTTTTCTTTGCCCGGAGTGCTTGTTTGAATGTGACGAGAAACAACACACCTGTACAACCGGCCTTGCTGGCCTGCTTTGTTGTCGCGCTCTGTTGTCATGTTACTTAACGTTCAGAATTTCTATATTATTCACTGCTCAATTTTACCTCGCCCGAATTCTGGAAACTCGCCCCAGAATTTTATTTTATCCGCATCGAATCAGCCTTTTATTCGGCTAACGTTACCAGGGTGCTGGCGAAACACCACAAACTCGTGGAAGTTCTCCCCGCTAGTGTTATCTCTCAAGTCCAGTCTTTGCTATCTAATCCTCCTGCAGATGCTCCCTATTTCATGTTAAAGGCAGAAATTTTTTGACTTAATTCTGCGTCCGACCGACAGCGGTACCACCAGTTACTTAAGGAGGAGTCACTGGCTGACCGGAAGCCCTCAGAACTTCTACGTCGAATGCGTTCTCTCCCTGGAGGCATGCAGACTAATGAGAAACCCGTCAAGATGTTTCTAGAGCGTCTGCCTGCAGATGTTCAAACGATCCTGGCGTCCGGTTCTCAAGATCTCACGGTCTCACAGCTGACTGAAATGGCGGATCGAGTGATTGAGGTGCAGCGGTTCCAGTCGCCCTCTGTTGACCAGATCTCCACATCCTCATCGACAGTGAATGAGCATTTAATGAAGCAGGTGTCGGCCATGGCGGATGAGACGGCCTTCCTTAAACTTCAGCTCGCACGCCTTACTTCCAGTCGCTCACGCAGCCGTCGTCGTTCTCGTTCGCGACCTCGGACTGCCGATACTTGTTGGTATCACACTAATTTCGGCGTAAAGGCCCGTCGCTGTTCCTCACTCTGCTATTTTATGCCGAAACAGGGAAACCAGTCAGCCAGAGAATAGCTGCGATCGTTTTCTCCGGCTCTGGTCGCACCTTCTATGTTTGCGACATTGCGATTCGTAGACTTTTCTTGGTGGGCACTGGTTATTGCATGATAGGCACGCGTAGACGGGAGCAGACTTCCAGCAAATCACTGCACTCTCACGTCCAGCTTTGGCTGGTATGACCTTTTCCTGCCCTCAAGCAATGAGAAGCTATGAAAACAAGCGAGTTAATTTGATGCCCCGTTAGCCTTCGTCACAGTGATCCATCTTCTGCACCAGTCACCGTTGAACCACCCACCAGACAGGGGTCTCCTCTTCTTATACCACGGGTCAATCCGTCTCTTCTTATTCCGTAAGTAGTTGCAACTGATTTAGTTTGTGTTAATTTGTGGATCTGTCTTTCTGACTTATCGATGTCGCTTTCCTATACCTAGTCAGTTTGATCACTTTGGTCCCCTTACTCCACCCTCCTCCAGCGGCAGCGCTATCTGCTGGCGAAATAGGGCAATCATTTTACAGTTTGAGAACTGCGAAGAAGGAGACACGATCGCTGGACCAAGAGCCTTATTGACCTGACGTTTCGGATGCTCACTCGAATTCCTCAGAAGAGACAGAGTCAGATAAGGGTGGTAAACCGCCCAGGTGTAGTCATTACAGGTATCCAGAGTCAGTCATACAAACACGGACTTTCTAGCTAGGTATGGCACAACTTACAGTCATGTTGCAACTCTTCTCTAGAAATTGACTCCATAGTGTGTGTACGTGCGAGTGTGTGTGGTCGCACGTCTAGGCGCGGGTCCGGCCGTGTCAGTCACCTGCTCGGCCCCTCGTCTCTGGTCTTCTTGACTCTGTCTTGACACCGGGTCCAGGTGGGAGGAGAGAGTGAAGTAGATCCTACGCAAGTCTGCTATCATTACAGACTAATTCACACACAAGTCCCCTGGCCTGTTTCGCCTCGCTGTGGAGCACACGGTGGACATCGCCGAACTCAACGATTACAATGTCATGCGTGTGTGTGTGTGTCCTCCTATAAAGATCTGGAAACGTCTGCTATGCCAGGAGCAGCAAGCCGTGGCCTTCGCAGCCTGGTGCGCGCTGACAGTTCTCTGACAACTGGCTCTTTGTCGGTAGATGCGCTTGTGCTTCTGCTGGGTATGAAGGTCGTAAGCACAGCTGTCCAGCCGTCCTTATCGCTCTGCTGTTGCTGTTCTTGTTGATTTTATTGGGTCAAAATCCTGGTCAGTTGTTGTGCGGACCGGGGAGTGTGGTGGTAAGTCTAAATGCGGGTTCAGCCATACCAGCCGCCTGCGCCCTGCCCCACCTTGAATGTGTGTTGACACCGGGTTCAGGTGGGGTATAGGATGAGAGAGTGCGCTAGATGCTGTGCAAGTCCGCTACCACTATAAACTAATTCATTCGTAAGTTACCGTGCCTGCTGCACCTTGCTGTGGAGCACACAGTGGACATCGTTGGCAACGACTGCCGATCTGTCATGTCTCCCTAGAACGGACCACGTGGTAGATGCTCTGGGCCAACAAAAGAACTACACCGGAATCCGGCAGGCATAATCAATAATGGGTATCCATAACAAGTTCCAACAGTAGGATATAGTGGCACGCCCAATTTGCAGGTTCAAGCTGATCCCATTGGGATCCGGGACGCCTCTCTTTTTTCGTTGTAGTATGAAATCCTGGTCAGTGTACGTCGTGGACCAAGGGGTTTGGAGTATTACGCCTTATTGCAGGTTTTCACCGTGCCAGTCATCTGCTCCCCCCCCTCCGGTCTTCTTGACTATGTCTTGACATCGGGTCCAGGTAGGAGGAGGAGGAGGAGGAGGAGGAGGAAAGCGTGGTAGGTGCTGCGAAAGTCCACTATCACTATAAACTAATTCACGCACGAGTCACCGTCCCTGTCCTCACCATGCTGTGGGGCACACCGTGGACATCATCGAAATCGACGGCCGAACTGTGCCGAGGCGCCAGACTATCTTGCCTTTCCCTACCTGTTCCTCATTCTTGAACTTACCGGTTGTTTAACTGAATGGAATGAACACAACTCGACGCGACGCGCTTGGCATGAGTGGGACTGTCAGGTCGTTTGACTTTTGATTATTAATTCTTCCATAACTCTGGTCTTATCCTGATTTTCATAGTCTGGGATTGACGGTTCTGTCTTTAGCGCTCGCTACAGTGGTGACCCTTTGACGTTCACGCTTGTACCTTTACTTAGTGGACTTTCTATTTGCATACCGCCCGTTTGCCTTCTCTCTTTCTACAATCATGTCCTCTACGAATTCCAACAATCCCACTTCTTCTCTCAGTGGACTTGTTTCTTCCCTCCCAGGCTTTTGGCAACATGCGCCAGAGCTTTATTTTTTCCGTATTGAGGCGACTTTTCACTCCGCCAAGATAACACGTGAAACCGACAAGTTTTGTAAGCTGGTCGTGGCTCTCCCTCCCACCATTTTTTCTCAAGTGCAGACGCTTCTGAGAGATCCCCCGACTGATGCTCCTTACACCAAGTTAAAGACTGAACTTCTTCGCCTGACATCAGTCTCCGATCGGCAGCGTTATCACGCACTAGTAAAAGAGGAGGCGTTAGGTGATCGCAAGCCGTCGGAACTCTTGCGTCGCATGCGTTATCTGGTTGGGAACATGAAAATCGATGACTAGTTCTTTAAAGAGATGTTCTTAGAACGTCTGCCGACGTCTGTACAAACAATCTTGGCCTCTGGCTCCGACGACCTAGAAATATCAAAGTTAGCGGAGATGGCTGACCGTATGATGGAGGTTGAGCGTTTGTCATCCCCGACGATTGCTCAGGTGTCCCAGCCTCTCAACGTGTCCACATCTGACCTGGCTGAACTAAAGACACAGATTGCCCAGTTGTCAGCGACTGTTGCCGCTTTGCAGCTGCGCCGATCCCCCGGTCCCTTTCGATGTTCCTTCGGCCGTGACTGTCGTCGTTCCCGCTCTCGCCCCAGGACCGCCAACCTATGTTGGTATCATGTCAACTATGGCGACAAGGCGCGGCGCTGTGTCCCACCCTGCTCCTTCAAGTCCACGCAGGGAAACTCCTCGGCCGGAGAGTAAATGCGGCCGAGCTCTCTGGCAACTCTACGGGTCGCACATTTTACGTGAGTGATAACACGAGTGGCAGGCATTTATTAGTCGACACTGGCGCTCAGATTAGTGTTATCCCTCCCACGCCAGCCGACCGACGTTGCCCAAACCATGGTCTTTACCTTCAAGCCGTAAACTCATCCCCCATTACAACCTTTGAATTTCGATCCCTCTTCCTGGATATTGGCCTCCGGCGATTATTCCCCTGGATATTTGTGGTTGCTGATGTTCCCACTGCTATCCTTTGTGCTGATTTTTTTGGCCGCCTTTGACCTTCTTGAGGATTGCAGACAACTTCGCCTCCATGATCGCGCAACTACCCTCACCGTCAAAGGATTTCCTCCATCCTCAGCTTCTAACCAGCTCTCCGTCCTTGACCCAAACCCTGACTGTCCATTTCGTAGACTTTTAGCAAAATATCCTACCCCCACTAAGCCCCATTTTTCTGACACCTCATTTCCCCATGATATTGTTCATCACATAGAAATGACTGGTCCTCCCGTTTTCTCTCGTCCCCGTCGTCTTGCTCCCGCGCGTCTTGCGGCTGCCAAAGCAGAATTTGACCACATGCTGCAACTAGGGATTATTCGACAGTCTGACAGTCCCTGGGCATCTCCTTTGCACATGGTTCCTAAACCAAATACGGATGATTGGCGTCCTTGTGGCGATTAAAGAGCCCTAAACAATATCACTATGCCCGATCGGTACCCCGTGCCTCATCTTCAGGACTTTGCTGGAGCCCTTTTCGGCAAAACCATTTTCTTGAAGATCGATTTGGTGCGGGCTTTTCATCAAATTCCGATTGCGGCTGAGGACATTCCCAAAACGGCAGTGACGACTCCTTTTGGCTTGTTTGAGTTCCTTCGTATGCCATTTGGTCTCCGAAATGTCTCACAAACTTTCCAACGTTTCATTGACCGTGTTTTACGCGGCCTTCCATTTGTCTATGTGTATATTGAGGATGTTCTCGTCGCCAGTCGAGATGTCGAGGAACACCTCCTACACCTTACCCTGCTTTTCGACCGATTTCAGCAGTTTGGTGTCACCCTGCATCCTGCCAAATGTATCCTAGGAGCCACTTCTCTTGAGTTCTTAGGTCACCTGATAGACTCAAACGGCATTTGGTCTCTTCCCTCAAAAGTTGCCGCCATTCGGGACTTTCCACCCCCTACCTCGAAGCGTCAGTTGCAACGGTTTCTTGGTATGGTGAACTTTTATCGCCGGTTCCTACCGAACTGTGCTGATCTCATGTTGGCGCTCACCAACATGCTTTCTGGTCCCAAAGGTTCCCTCGAGCTGACTGGTGAAGCACTGACTGCTTTTGAGGGAATCAAGAATTCCCTTGCTGATGCCACCTTACTCACACATCCCGCTCCCGAAGCTCAGCTGTCTCTGATGGTAGATGCTTCGACCGTAGCCGTAGGTGCTGTCCTTCAAGAACACCTTGCTGGTTTGACTCAACCACTTGCCTTTTTCTCCAAAAAGCTCTTACCAGCTGAGACATGCTACAGTACCTTTGGCCATGAACTACTAGCCATTTACCTGGCTGTGAAGCATTTCGGGCATTCCCTTGAAGGTCGTGACTTCACCGTTTTCACTGACCACAAACCGTTGACTTTTGCACTTCGTTCCCACACTGACAAACTAAACCGCCGGGAAATCCGCCAACTGGACTACATCTCCCAGTTTACCTCAGATATCCGCCACATCGACGGGTCACGCAATGAGGTGGCTGATGCACTGTCCAGGCCCTCCATTGCTCATCTTCAGCTTTCACCCGGGATAGACCTCGCTGAGATGGTCGCTGAACAACGCCGTGTCGGTCCACCCTGTGATGAGGATGTTTCCGGACTCCAACTTCAGGAACTACCGCTAACAACTGGCAACGGCACCATTTTATGCGACGTATCCACCCCTTCCCATCGTCTATTTGTGCCACCATCTCTCCGCTGCAAAGTTTTCTCCTCCCTGCACAATCTGTCTCACCCTGGGAGTCGAGCAACCGACAAGCTGGTTTCCGACCGCTTCGTCTGGCCTGGTATGCACAAGGACATCAAGGCATGGACACGGACTTGTATCGCCTGTCAACGGAGCAAGATCCAGCGGCACAACAAGGCCCCCATTGGCACCTTTCCCCGGCCCTGGTTCAAGGTTCAGCCACGTTCACCTGGACATTGTAGGCTCCCTGCCTCTTTCCAATGGTTGTTCCTATCTCCTCACCTGTGTGGATCGGTCCACTCGGTGGCCTGAAGCAATTCCCCTGCCTGACATTGCTGCTCCAACGGTGGTCAAGGCTTTTCTCAGTCGTTGGGTTGCTATCTTTGGTGCACCCTCCACAATCACGACTGACCGTGGTGCCCAATTTGAGTCTAACCTCTTCCAGTCTTTACTCTCCTTTTAGGCTGTACCCGCATCCGGACGACAGCCTTTCACCCGGCTGCTAACGGGATGGTCGAGCGGTTTCACCGCCAGCTGAAGGCCTCTCTACGCGCCGCGGCCGATCCGGAGAACTGGACAGACCACCTTCTCCTGGTCCTCTTGGGCATCCGCTCCGCTCTCAAGCCGGACCTTGACTGTTCCGCAGCTGAACTGGTGTTCGGCTCCACCGTCCGACTCCCCGGTGAGATGATCTCACCAAACCCTCAAGGTGCAGTTGAGGATCCTACCAACCTCCTGCATCGCCTCCGGCAGTTTATGCGGACACTTTCTCCGGTTCCTCCCAGGTCCTCCGCCTCTCCGTTCTATCTCGAGAAGGACTTGGCAACGTGCTCTCACGTCTACCTTCGATGTGATCGAGTCCGCCGGCCTCTGGAACCGCCCTATGACGGCCCATTTCGGGTGCTCTCTCGCGGGCCGAAGACTTTCCGCATTCAGCGCGACAATCGTGAAGAGGTCGTGAGTGTGGACCGCTTCAAGGCTGCCGTCCCTGACACTCCTCCGGATGAGCCCTGTGGTCCTCAACCTTCTGCTTCCCACATGCAGCCTCTATTCCACCGTCCCGTATTTTCCCTCTGCCCTCCTGTCCGCCATCTCCGACTGTCACCACCAACTCCAACACTTCCGCCACCAGATTTATTCACTCTTCTACGGACCCTGTATGTATCACTCGCAGTGGTCGTCATGTACACTTTCCTGATCGGTTGGTCACTCATTTCTTTTAGACCTGTACACATCCTTCGACGTCGTCTTCGCCGCCCTCCGGTCTCGGAGGGGGGTACTGTGCCGAGGCGCCAGACTATCTTGCCTTTCCCTACCTGTTCCTCATTCTTGAACTTACCGGTTGTTTAACTGAATGGAATGAACACAACTCGACGCGACGCGCTTGGCATGAGTGGGACTGTCAGGTCGTTTGACTTTTGATTATTAATTCTTCCATAACTCTGGTCTTATCCTGATTTTCATAGTCTGGGATTGACGGTTCTGTCTTTAGCGCTCGCTACAGAACTGTCGTTGGTGTGAGAGAGAGAGAGACAGAGAGATTTCTCAGCACTCTGGAATGCTTCGTTGCTATTGCCGAACTTGGGGGCATCATTCTGCAAGCGTGGGAGTTAAAGTACCAGGACATCCTGTAGTTTGTCCCCTAGCTGGTACCGTCAAGGCCGCGGTTACTTCCATGCCAACTGGATTCATTTTTGACTGTCTTCAGATACCGCGGAATTATATTATTCTCTGGCAGACGGAGATCACCAACCAGACTGTTTACTTATGCAACCAAATGAAATAAAAAGTTTGTTAGTGCATACATTCCCATTCTTCCCTGAGAACCCTTTGATTCACACATGAGCCACCAACTTCGGAAGAGGAAGAATTTAAGTAGCATATGCAAGTGGGCGCTAGAAATTAGGAAATATTGACTGAAATCTCCACTTATTGCTCGAAGAATCGAAAACACTCAGCCGAAATTGCAGTTGATATCATTTTAGTGTGTACACGCGAGTCGTCTTTGCCAAACGTAATAGCGAATGAACCTTACTTAACCGGCAAATATCGATTTCATTGGTGCTTAAGGCCCGCCAAAATTAGATTATAGATCCAAAAGTGACAATTTTATGTTATTTTTTCACTTTCTTCAGTACGCCTTCTTCTCTATAGATTTTAGGCTTCTTGGACTTTGGCGGCTGAAAGTAGAAGGCATCTCTGCATTTAAAAAGGCCTTACCATTTGTGCATATGTTTGCAACACGTTTCAGTCGTTTATAGTTTTTTTGCGTTTAGTTCGTAGAACGGAGATCTAAGTTTGCCTGGAACATTCTTGTCGGCTGAAAAGGCCTACCGGGAATGCCTAAGACAACGAACTTTAATTCAGTATCAACCAATCAATTTTTTGCCGATAAATCAATAAAATTGGAGATGTTTTTGTTATCTTCGAATTCTGATCACCGATCGGGTTGCCGGACATGTTTGTCCCGTTGTGTATTAAGGCACAATCTAGTGGCCTCAAGAGTAGTCACATAGCGACAAGTAATATTTGCTGAAAGAAGTGCCGACGAAGATAAGGGGGACTGGGATAGCCACTTCTTTTGCTTTAGCCGACGCCAGCCAGTCATACCTCATCCCAGGCTTGGAGCTCCTAGGATTTTTCCACTTGAAATAAAACATATTATCTATTCCTTGGATTTTAGAGTGTTGTTTCCATCGAGACCTCTTGGTATTTGATTATGTGACCCATATAAAGATGAGAGATACGAGGATGCGAGACCTTACCTGACCAGAGGTGGAATGAACTGGTCTTATTCGTCTCAGTTCACTTAATGAAGAGGACACTATCCCTCTATTTTTAGGAAAATCATGGCTGGAATAGGATTTCTCACAGAGCCACAACCTTCATATAGCCACGGTGTCCGCAATTTCGTCGATTCTAATAAAGTCCATCTGAGGAAAAATGCATGTATGTATGCAGCACAGCCATTAATCCTCAGCAGGCTGTGGACTGAATGAATGTCACGTCCAGGCACCACAATAGATGACCCCTCCTAGACAGAGGACAACACGGGTTACCCATGCGCACACCGACTGCCGGAGGCGGGCCGTTCGAGAGGAGAGGGGGGACGGTGAGGTAATGCGTTCTGTAGCGTGGAATAACTGATTTGGGACACAGTTCCGTTACCCCAGATAGGTCACCGGCCTGGGTGTTTTCCTCGTTACGTGATATCGCGCGGCTCACAATCTCACACGTATTACGAGCCAAAACCTCTGAAAACTTTATCAAATCCTTTAAATTTGCTTTCAGATGGAAAATATTTTTTAAAAGTGGAGTGAAAATGCTGATAAGCACAGAAAGTAATTTCTAATAAACTTACATAGAGTTCCAGTTCTAGATTATTGCGGCCTTCTACGCCGATCAAGTTTGCCGCGACTTTTATTTAAATGCACCTCGACGTGTCTTTTTGATTCTCCTCTTTTAAAACTGTGCACTTTTTGATAATTGCACTCTCCCCCTCTGCCCAATTATTTGAAATGACTACGACAGTTGGACGAAAAGACTATAAACCACTGCTTTGGCACCATCACATGGACGGCATGTTTTCCATGCAGTCACACAGCAGCGTGTAATATGGCAGAATAACATTACCGGCAGAGAAAATAGAGAATTACATTACGCAGTCGGGGGGTTCCCCTTCATCATTGTCAAAATAACCCCACTGAAACCGACGGAACAACTAACCCGTGGCTCAGTTGTTAGGGCGTTGGACTTCTAACCAACGGGTGGCGAGTCCGAGTCTTGGGCGTTGCATACCTCGGGGTTGGGTATGACTGGCTGATGACGACTAACAAGCCGGAAGCGGGCAGCCTCCTTTTTTGCCCGCAATGCTATTTTGCCTATGCTTGAACGCGTACGCGCCTTTGTGCATTTCAGCTTCATAACAGAGTCCTCCCTTATAGCCGCATAAGAAAGAGCTGAGACGAAGGATTCTCGAATGGTAAACTAGGGTTTGTTCACTGCCATCATCATCATCATCATCATCATCATCATCATCATCATCATCGCCATCACCGCCGCCGCCGCCACCACCACCACCACCATCATCAGTAGCAGCGGCGACGGCGGCAGCAACAACAATAATACAACAGTTGACAGCTCCCGCTGGGTGGATTTGGACGGACTGGCTAAGTGTCCGCGACACCCTACAACAATCACCTTCTGTCCTCTAATCGAATCAGATCAGCGGATGTCAATAAGGTTCAATTCTCCACGCCAGATTGCAATTCGCGCGAAAAACCGCCATTAACCGGACTTCGCTTTTCAACAACTTTTTAAGGACGAAAACATAGACTTCTCCGTATGCTGATTTGAAATGCCTTGAACAACGACCGGTATTTTCCGGCAAAATGGTTTCTTTATTCTGCTAAACTTGACATCTTCTACTCTCCATGCTTCCACAAGGTCAAAGAATATTTTCGTCACGTGGCCGCATGCATGCCAGGTGTTGTGGCAGCAAGAATGTCAGTCCCAAGTAAACGAACTTTTAGAGGTCAGTTCGGTTTCATTTACTCGTTACATAAACAGACCTCTTGTTAACCATCGGATAGCCCCGGGCGAACTTGACGCACTTGCGAAAAACACATACCCGTTGGCCTGATAGGGACGTGAAGTTCTTTGCTTAAATCGCCATGTCTGCACCCCACGTTGGGGTCAGTACGGAAACCACTGACTACTACCAAAAGCCACGGCCAAAGACCTGTGAAAAGAGTTCAATTTCGATTAATTTGAACAAATTTTCTCAGAACTGTTGATACTGCCCAAGATTTGGCCTTGATCTGTGTCGCGTTCTCTTACCAACACACCAGTCATGAGTTGACTCATTCAGACAGCAGTTCGTTCAAAATCCAAAAAATCATCTTTCCACAGTTAAACCCCTTACCTTCAATAACCTAAATTCAACGGGTCTTTATTTTCCTCGAAAAAAACGCCGCGTAGTCATTTCCATGGAACAGGCCAGAAAAAGTTATTACTGAAGCAATTAAACATGATGGCCGAATTCTAAATGATCAGCCCCGACTATCTCGAACCTGTCCCAAAAAACGTCTTTTTCCTCTACAGAATAAAATTTTAAGTCCTTTTACCGGCGAAAAATCACAATTTTGGGCGGAAATGAACGTTTCTTTACCATGATGCAGTTAATGTTTTTTTTTTAACTTCGTTATATTCCCGCCTCTTTTATTTGTACAGCTGTTTGCATAGACATACACTACGTACAGGATGTCCCTAAAAATTTGACATAATTTGAAATGTTAAGCACCGAATGAGCCCCCGACGAGCTTTATGCACTTGCGAAAAATGCATACCGGCCAGCCTAATAGGGGGCATGAAGTCCTTTGCTTAAATCGCCATGCCCGCATTCCACGTTGGGGTCAATACGGAGACCATTAAAAAATGTACGACCGAGGACCTGGAAACAGAGCTCATTTTCGGTTGGTCCTGTTACAAATCGCCACACAGACTGACTCACTCCGATAGCAAGTGATGTAACATTCCAAAAGATCATTTCTCCAATCAAAAACTCCTTACTTTCAAAAACCGCAGGCCAGTGCGTTCTCACCGAAAAAACCCACATAGCCATTTCCGGGGGGCAGGTTGGCAAATAGTTTATAGTCGGTGACCGAATACATGAGACGCAACGATCGGAATCTAAACGATCAGCCCGGAGTGCCTCGAGCTTTTTGCATCTTTCTTTTTAGATTGAAGCAATCAATTCCCGGAATAAATTTGAATAAGGCAAAGGCGACAAAGCATTCAGTATTTACTGACGTCATAAATTTCGAGACCTCTCATTCAGCTGCTTACGCTCATTGCATAGTTATATGACAAGGCAAATTGTTCAATCAACGATCGACCTAGAGACATAAAACGTGATAGGTAACCTGAAACATGGGCCTTGTATGCGTTTGCATATGGCTAGGGGGGGGGAGGGGGAAAGAAGTCATCCAAGTAAGAGAGTTAAGACTACAGTGAGAACCTGTCCGGGCGTGATTTAGAGTGCAACGCGCGGGCAGCAT